GTTGCCCACCGCGAGGAACCACTCACGTGACTTCGGGGTGAAGTCGCCCAGGGCCGCATGTGCTTGGACCTTGTGGATTCGGAAGTCCTTGCCCCACGTCGGCGATGCACGAATCTTCACACAGATGCCGGCGTACACGTGGTTCCTCGACGCGACCTGTCCTCATGGGGCTGTCGCCATGCGGACTAGGGTTAGAAAGTCCGAATGGATGGCCTGCGCCAGAGGGCAGTGTTCCATCACGGCAAGGACGGCCACGTGTTCTGCAGAATGGGGGGTCTGCGGGTAGTGCGTGCCGACGGAACCCCAGAGTGCTGCAAACAGGTCGCCGTTTGTCGTCAACTTTTTGACAGCCCATCCCGCGATATGGTATTCCTCGGGTCCGTCTTTGAGGCACGAGCCGTCTGTAAAGACCTCCCCCACAAGCGCCTCGTGCACAGCGAGGAAGGGGCCTACGCACCTGAAACGGCAAAGCGTGGTGCCCGAACCTTTCGGGGGATTGACGGAGAAGCCCGGCGATTCCAGGAAACCGCAAATTGGCGGGAAATTCTTGCGGCCGTCATTGATGACCTCGATATCCGCCGGTTCGAGCCATTCTTCCCGTAGAGCGGTGCTGGAAGTGGGCACGGTGGATGCGGTGCGCTAGACAATCAGACGGTCCGCCGCACGCGCAAACCGCGGTTGCTTCGTAACCGGTTTGATGGAGTTTCCGCCCAGTCGAGACGGTTTGACAAAGAAATGAAAGCAACATGCCTGCTTCTTCCTTCGCAAGGCTGCCTCGATAGAGGACTTGGCGGGCGACTTACAAGTCTACTGTTGCGCCTGCTTCAAGGCAAATGTTCTGGCCTATGGCTCGGAATTGGACGCCTCGCGAAGCTGCCTTCATTTTGTCTTCTACAAATTTGGGCGAGAAAACGGTGAGGGGCCATAGCTCCCTTGTCTGATCCTTGAACACCATCGCCGAGTGCATCTCCCACCCGATCCGCCGGAGAGAGAGGATGCAGCTGCGAAAGGCCCGCGCACGCATCCCCAATGCTTTGGGGGGTTGGCCAGAATGGGGGCCGCCCGCGAGATTATGCGAAGCATGGGGAAGTGGTTTCGCGTCGACCTGTCTACATTGGCGCGCCATGCTCTCTTGGCCCACCGAAGAGCTGGGGCCAGACATTGGCGCCACGACGGATCATCAAGTTAGGCCAGGGAGATGGATCGGGAGTGGTTGTCTCCCCTAGATTCAGCGATGGCCAGAAAGAAAGTTTGCAATTGGCGCAATTCTGCATTGTCCATTCCTGTGACTTCCACGCCATAGGTACCAAAAGAAGCCAAGCTGGAGGTGAAGAGCTTGCGCATATTGGTTAATGCTGTGCGCAGGGCATGCAGTCTCTTCCTACGTGACTTCAGCTTGCTCGTGCGGTCACGCAAAGCCGGGCGGCTGGATTTTCATTGCCCGCCGCCAAATCCACATCTAGGTCTTTCGCGGCTGGGGCAACGCGTCCCGCAACGGGGCCTAACGCCTTCGTGAACCTCCTGTGTAGGCCAGCGGAGTTGGCTAACGTGATGGACTTTCGTAGCGCGACCGAGCTTCCCAATTCAGTTTCTACCGCCTTGACCAGAGAGGGGGCTGTCACGCAGCAAAGCCCTGGGCGGTGATTGATGCATTCGGGTCTGGGCCTCCTCGTGGGCGTCGTCGTCGCCGTCGTCGAGATTCGCCGGTCTCCCATTCGAGATCCCTCTCAGTGACAGCGACAGTATGCATGAAATTGTTTCCTCGTGCTTTTTTTCGGCGGATTCGCGTCGTGCCGACTTCGGCGTCGCTTCCCGACACCGGGGGAATCGTTCGGTTTCGAAAGATCAGCCGTTCCCGAAGCGTCCGATCATTCAACATCGACCAGTTCTGGGTCGCTGGCGGCGTTCAACGTTGAACGCCGGCGGCGGGGTCGCCTCTGGTCGACACTGAACTGTCAATCTGCATTGCGCTTCCCTTGTGGCGGTTCTCCTGCGTCTGGCGGCATGATACGCCAAACGGACACGATGTCCCGCTTGGACGGGCGCGAGACGCGGTGCTGGAGCTCCCCGAGGTGTTCGGGCATGTGTGGCGGCTCTGCGTTGGGTACCACGCATGGGGCAAGATCTCATCTGGATGCCAATCGCATGGCACTCAGTTGGGCCCCGCGTGACATCACGCAGTGGAGGACGACATCCCTTTTGAACACACGCAAGACAACGGACTTGGACCCATCTGGGCTATTATCGATGCCTTTTACGCTTGGCGCCACACCGGGAAGTCGAGTCCCTGCCTGGATGCTTGTATGGCCGTGCTCCGTTGGACCCCCACGGGCCCAGAAAACTGTGTCAGTTCCAGATGTTGCAGCACCTATGGGGATGATGTCCCGTTTGGTTATGTAGGAGTTTAACAAGTGGCAACAGGCCTACGTTTTGCAGCTCCTCAGGGAGTGGCCACGTTGGACACATACGACGGCGGACGTTTGAACCCACCAGGAGACGGCTCTGCGTTTGATGCCACCCGTGGGGAGACCACAAGGGGCCGGTACCACTACTCCTCGGACCTGTCCCGGGATGCGTTTTCATCAAAATTACGAAGCGAACCCAGCGGTGGCGACGAGGGTCTCCGAGGAGGCCCCCAAAAAGGGGAAACGAGCGAAGGGTAGAGGTATGGGTACCTTTTCCTCTTCTGAATCCGTCGGGGAGGGGGGGTGTCGGTGTGGGGGGGGGCTCGGTGTTGGGGGGAGGAGCGAATCGCCTCAGGATGTCTGTGCTGCGGAGCTCCGCTGGACTCGCCCCCCCCCCCCCCCAGCGGTGCAGGAAGTGGCGGCGGCAGTGTCGAACCTTTGCAGCTGTCACGGGGGCCAGGCCGCGTCTGGGGGCCTCAGGAGGGGGCGACAGATCTGCGCCTGCGCTCGTGAGGCAAGCGAGCGCCCGTGATGCAGAAGAGGTTCGTGAGGCAAGGTCCAGCGGTTGGCTGCCCAAGCGAGGTCACGCCTGGCTGCCCGCATTGCGCAGCCCCGCCGAGCCTCCCGTGGCCCAGGACGCGTCGACGGCTCGCCGCTGATGTCTCGCTCGCAGTCGCCGAGCTCCCTCGAAACAAACTTACTGTTTAGAGGAGACATGTCGTCGTTTTCTGTATTAGCATTTTCCTACTAATCAGCGCGGGCCCTCGCCCCGCCCCTCCCCCCACATGGAGTAGATCTTGGCTGTTTTGGGCGCCTGTTTCAGGCAAGGAGTCGCTCCCACAGGAAGCACTGTTGCAAACAGTCGCGTTAAGCAGAGGTCCAGAGCCAGACCCCCCCACCTCTCCCTCCCTTCCGCCCAAAGTCGAAACGCCGAAAAAGAACATGCTCACCACGCAGCTCTGATAAGATGCACTCCCAGGGGGGCTATCTTGACGCACCCCTATCTGGGATGGCCGCCATCTCTGTATATCCATGGGTTGCGCCCCTGAGTTTGCCAATCGAAAGTCCAATTTAGGCATTGGGGTCGCCATGCTCCTCGCTTTCAGGTGCATGGTTGGCAGCACCTAGGGGGAGCCAACGATCACGAATATAGCAAATTCACAACGCAGGGCTGAGGATTGAGGAGAAGAGGGGGAGGAGAAGACAGAGGAGGGCAAGGAGAGGGAGAATGTAAATGATCGCGGCAGCAATGACTTTATTCAAAACGAGGGTCCAACCACAGGAAGTGAAGTGAAGTGAAGTGTTGCCATCGCCGGGAACGGCCAGCATCCCTGCAAGAAGTGCAGGTGCGCATGTAGCACTCAGGCCCTCTACGAAGGTCACTGAATGCGAGGCTGTGCCGAATTCGGCGTGACACATCATCTGTTTGCTCAGGGCCCGACTGTAGAAACTCCTGCTCGTTCTCCTGCCGCGCAAACTCGCTGGATACCTCAAGTGCCCAAGAGATCCAGCTGGCACATTTTTGCTTAGGATGCTGGAACATCTTTCCATATGTTGAGCCTCCAATGCTGGGAACGAGCAAGGGATCCGGTTGCCCCCTTTGATCCTTGATTGTGCGACGCATGAAGCGTGGTTTCTACAGTGAGGCTTTTGCTTGATCCACCACGTCTCTGTGATGCTGGTTCGATTCCCGGGCTGTTTCCACTTTACCTTGAGGTGTTATTCTGCCCAGCATGCAACTCTTGCTTTCCTTGTTTTGTCCGCGGCAACGCCCGTCGCTTTCCAGGTGCATGACACGTTGCTTTCCATCCCGACTGACTTGTTTGTTCTTCATCCTTTTTTTTTCGCCGGGCGGGATCTGTAGCCTTGCCAGTTGGGCTCAACCATGCGGCACAGGCTGGCCACCGAAACTGTATTTTGCACTGTGGGTGCCAGAACCTTCCATTACATCCGTTCCGCACTGCCAATTACGATAGCTTAGCACCATGTCCGAGACCGAGACCGGGCCCAAGATGTTCAGGTATGGCAAGATCTTGTTCTTTTGCACAATGTACATCGTTCTAAGTGGAGGGCTTATCAACTTCAACAAGTTCTTGGTGCATGAGGGGCGGTTCCCACACCCTATGGCGCTTACGGCGATTCACATGTTCACCAGTTTCGTGCTTACGTCCATCATCCTCACTGCGAAACCATCCATGATGCCTAGCGTGGATAGGTGCAGGGGCAAACTGCTGGATCTCTACAAGCACCTCATCCCCATCGGCTTCTTCTTCGCCGTGGTGCTGTACGGATCCAACAAGGCGATCATGTACTGCAGCGTGGCGTTCCTGCAATTCATGAAGGAGACCAATGTCGTGTTCGTCTTCCTCTTCTCGGCCATTGCGGGCCTGCAGACCGTGAACAGGCAGCGCTTGTTCGTCATCGCCTGGGTCATCTCGGGTTCGACGCTGTGCGTGTCTGGCGAGCTGAACTTCGTCTTGGCAGGCTTTGTCCTGCAGGCCGTTGCGCAGTTCGCAGAGTGCCTGCGCGCCGTCATCGCGGAGATGATTCTCACCGGCAGCGACTACAAGTTGGACTCGCTCAGTTATGCATTCTTCATTTCGCCCGTCTGCCTGGTTGTGCTCATAATCGGCAACATCGTCACATGGAACAGCGATATCCTGCCCGACGCGGCCGCAATGTGGTACCTACTGGTCCCGAACGCGTGCATCGCGGTCTGCCTCAACATCACCATCGCGCAGGTGATCAAAGAGACGTCCGCCGTCGGTTTCATGATCACCGGCATTGTCAAGGACATCATCCTGGTCTGCTTTTCGTCCGCGGTGTTTCACGACACCATCCAGCGGCAGCAGTGGTGCGCGTTCATGCTGACGCTCAGCGGGGTGTTCTTCTGGTCGTACATGAAGATTGCCCCTCGGTCCGGGCTGGTCACGACCTTCGAGAAGATGCTGGGGGTCGGGAGCTGGCCCTGCCCGGGCGAGCCGCTCGGAGCACTGGAGGCGAAGAAGGCCGAGGCGACGCCTCTGGTGCCGAAGAGCGCGTGAGGCGGCCCCGCCGCCCCGCGGCCGACGGGCCGCGTGTTTAGCTCCGTCCGTTTTGATGGCCCGTTGTAGACCCCCACCTCTCACGCGCTCTTGCATCGATGGATATATCCGTAATAGAGAAGTCTGCGGGTGGAACTCATGGCGGCGATGGAATGTCCTCATGTTGCGCCATCCGTGTCCCAGGCAGGGGGTTGGGGGGGGAAGTGTCTTCACTGAGATAACGTGTGAGTTTTGGTCAGAAGATGCCCGCTCCCTTAGTACATCACCGCCGTGTCTTGTCTCTCCCAAGTGGTCGATTACTGATGAGAGCTTTGTGTTGTTTCATATGCTGTTGTTTTTTGCGTCACTTGAGGCGGGTGGCTTGGGTGGTGCGTTTAGAGTCTCGGGAGGGGGGGGAGCAGCATCGCCGTCCACAGGGCGCCCTCGAAGTAAACGTGTCTAGAGGACCCTGGGGGAAATGTGAATCTTCGTGCGTCGTTGGTTCTCTCCCGGAAAAAAAAACTGAAAGATGGAGACTTCGTAAAGCGGATCGGGCCGCAGATCCTTCTGAGGTCATCCGGCACGTCTTCGATGGGCAGGTCCCTTGCTGCTGTTCCGCCTGCACCTGCGAGAAGGCAACCTGAAGCCTACTGGGTCCCCCACCAGCGCTCTTCTTCTTTATGGCCCAGTCAGAACACTGGATTCCGCACTACGAATTTGAACTCTCGAGGCCTCTCTGCATCAGTCCACGGGGGCCACGGAACCATTCAGTAGAACATGGCCGACTCCTGTCGCTCTGTGCTGCCGCTGGTACTGTCGGATCTCAAGAAGCGCAGTGGCACGAGGATGACCTGCGGGAAGGGAGGACACGGGACTTTGGCAACATGTTGCGACTTATTTTGTCATTATGTCATCTGATGCGTATTCGAAGCTCCAGTCGCGGTTTGTCCATGCACTGCGGCGGGCCTGATGGTTAAGAAGCGTGAGCCTTCTTGTGTTTGGGACCCCCCTTTGTTTCATTGATTTCTTGTCACAGTCGCTTCTTCATCACAGGTACCCCGCTAAAGTCCCAGACCTTGCATAGGCCGCTCGATGTATGCTCAAAGTGCTTCTGTCCTTCCCCCTCATCTTTCCTCATCGCTGCTCTTCCTCATTATCTTCTAACTCGTCCTCTTCCTCCTCCTTCTCCTCCAGTGCAGAGTGCAGAAGTTCTCGGCACGAGCGGGATTTTTTCGGCGCGACCATCGTTTTTCCGTCGCAGTGCTAGTCCCCTGATTTCCTGGCCGGAATCGTTGTGGGTCCCGCCCGAGAAGGCCCGCTCGCAGGTTGTAGGGGTCGGTGTCTCCAGGATTCCAGAATGCAAAATCTCACACTGAGCGTGAATAACATCTCTTCCTCTAGTTCCCTTCCTTTACTTCCCTCCTCTTCTTCCTCCTCTTAGGACGGGAAGACCCGGCAGATCATCATGAACGCCTCTTGCGTCCGAGGCCCCAAGAACGAGGTCCTCTGCGTGCTGGGCGTGGCGCAGGATGTGACGGAAGCCAAGGCCATTGCAAGCAGACACAATTTCAGGAAGAGACGGGGGATTCAGACCAGGACAAGGGGATCCATCAGATAAGGCTTGCAGCTGCCTTACATGTGGCCGCAAGTCTCTAGGCCTCCTAGATGGGGGTCGGAGTAGATGAGGTCGGAAGATCGCGCCGCATCGCCGATGCATCGCCGATGCGGCTCGATGTGGAGCCCGATTTGCTTCACGTCGACTTCGCCGATGCATCGCCTACGTCGACGACGCATTGCTGGTGCATCGCCGATGTATCGCTGATGCATCGTCGATGTATCGGTGATGCGGCGCGATCCTCCGACCCCTTCTACTCCGACCCCATCTGGGAGGCCTCTAAAGTCGTTGCCAACTCTCAGCCCCCACCTCCCGCCAAAATGCATTTCGGCCCCCACTCGGGCCTTTCTTGTTTGTGCTTCGGTCGTTCCTTCCGCCGCCATCGATCCCTCACTCGCCTGGGAGGCAGACCGCTGTCTGCATTCCTGTGGGGGGACCTGGGCTTTCGGACCCAGGCCCCTCCCAGAGCCCGCACTAATCCCCCCAGCCTTTTGAGCTCCTCCCTCCTCCCTCCTCCCTCCTCCTCCCCCGGTCCTCGTCCCCTCGTCCTTCCCCCCTTCTCCCTCCTGGCTCCTGCCCGCCGGCGGCTGGCGGCCCTCGGGACCGTCGTGCCTCCTCCCGCCTGCTCTCTGCCCCCACCCCACCCCGCCCCTCGCCCCCACCTGGGCCCCTCCCCTCCGCCTCCCCCTGTCCCCACCTCCCTCCATCTCCCCTCCTCCCTCGCCCCTGGGCCACTCCTCCCCCCCCCCCCCCACCCCCTTGTTCACCACCCACCAGGCCCCCCCAACCCAACCCGAAGGCCTCCCTTTGCCCTCGATCTCCAGTAAGAGGGGGTGGGGGTCGGGGAGCATGGAGAAAACTCATGGAACCTGTACCCCCCAGCCCGAAATTCGGGCCTTCAGGTTGAGTTGGGGTGGTCTGGTAGGCAGTCTTAAGTCGGGCCTGTCCCTCTACAGGAGGAACGTTACACAATGGTCCAACACCAGTCTGGGGACGACTCGTTGGGCTTCTTTTTCGACCATTTTGGCGCATTTTTTTGGCTATTTGTATTTCTCGTCCAACATCCCCCTGGGACGACTCTTTGGGTTTCTTTTTTGCTATTTGTAAAATTGTCATCTAGGGACGACTCTTTGGGTTTTTTTCGATAATTTGAGCGCATTTGTGGGTTATTTGTATTTCTCGTCCAACACCCCCCTGTAGGAGGACAGGCCCGACCTCGAGGCGGTCTCTCGCGCCCGCCTCCGCCCAGAGGCGTCATGGGCAGGCCGGGCGCACCCCCCCCCGGAGCCGGCGTGCCCCGGAGCGGCGGCCTCGGGGCCCCCTCCTCGGGGCGCCCAGGACCGGCCGCGCTCGGGGCGCCCCCCGCGGGGCCCCCCCTCGGGGCGCCCCCGCCGTGGCCGGAGCCTCTCGAGCAGGGGGAGCAAAAAAAAACGAAGGATTGCAACAAAAAACCGAAGGATTGCAACAAAAACGAAGGATTGCAAAAAAAACGAAGGATTGCAATCCTTCGGTTTTTTTTGCAATCCTTCGGTTTTTTTTTGCAATCCTTCGATGCGGACCCGATGTGCAGTCGGCCCGCGCAGGGAGGGCAGGCATCCCTCACAAGGGCACCCATTGCATCCCTGCCTCCCGGGTCCCTCCTTGGACGCTTTCGTGGGCCGCGCGCCCCACTCGGAGCGCCTCGAAGTGGGCGGCCAAGGCCCTTGCATCCTTGCCGCGCATCATTACTATCCGGGCTGACTGTACCCCAAGCTTGCCTTTCCGCAAAATTGCCGAAGGAACACGTCGCAGTCCACGAACGAACGTTCGACTTTTTCCCTTCCTAGGTGCGACGATGAATCAATTTCGGGGCACATCAGCTCTGCAGTGGATCCCCTACTCGAGCCCTGGCCCCTGCGACACCTCACTGGGGAGCACGTCGTCCTGAGCGGGCGCCTGGCCCTGCCCAAAGAATCGCCCACCCGGGCCTCTCACGGGGCGCGCCTCTTGGACTCGGACCCACGGGAGCAGCCCGTGGCCGTGGCCGCGAGAGTTCCTCGCTCTGAGGCCCAGAGAGGGGCCCAGGAACGCCCAGGACCGAACCCCAGATCCGATCCTCGATCCTCGCCAGGGGCGCGTTTCGACTTGGACCACAGGGGCAGCCCGTGCCGTGTGGCCGCGAGAGTTCCTCGCTCTGAGGCCCAGAGGGAGGCCCAGGAACGTCCAGGACCGAAGCCAGATCCGATCCTCGATCCTCGCCAGGGGCGCGTTTGGACTTGGACCACAGGGGCAGCCCGTGCCGTGGCCGCGAGAGTTCCTCGCTCTGAGGCCAAGAGGGAGGCCCAGGAACGCCCAGGACCGAAGCCAGATCCGATCCTCGATTCTCGCCAGGGGCGCGTTTGGACTTGGACCACAGGAACAGCCCGTGCCGTGTGGCCACGGGAAGCCCTCGCTCTGAGGCCAAGAGGGAGGCCCAGGAACGCCCAGGACCGAAGCCAGATCCGATCCTCGATTCTCGCCAGGGGCGCGTTTGGACTTGGACCACAGGAACAGCCCGTGCCGTGTGGCCACGGGAAGCCCTCGCGAGGCCAAGAGGGAGGCCCAGGAACGCCCAGGACCGATCCAGATCCGATCCTCGATTCTCGCCAGGGGCGCGTTTGGACTTGGACCACAGGAACAGCCCGTGCGTGTGGCCACGGGAAGCCCTCGCTCTGAGGCCAAGAGGGAGGCCAAGGAACGCCCAGGACGAAGAAGATCCGAGATCGATTCTCGCCAGGGGCGCGTTTGGACTTGGACCACAGGAACCGAGCCCGTGCCGTGTGGCCACGGGAAGCCCTCGCTCTGAGGCCAAGAGGGAGGCCCAGGAACGCCCAGGACCGAAACCAGATCCGATCCTCGATTCTCGCCAGGGGCGCGTTTGGACTTGGACCACAGGAACAGCCCGTGCCGTGTGGCCACGGGAAGCCCTCGCTCTGAGGCCAAGAGGGAGGCCCAGGAACGACAGACCGAAGCCAGATCCGATCCCGATTCTTCGCCAGGGGCGCGTTTGACGGTGGACAAAGGAACAGCCCGTGCCGTGTGGCCACGGGAAGCCCCGCTCCGAGGGCCAAGAGGAGGCCCAGGAACGCCAGGAACCGAAGCCAGGACTCCGATCCTCGATTCTCGCCAGGGGCGCGTTTGGACTTGGACACAGGAACAGCCCGTTGCCGTGTGGCCACGGGAAGCCTCTCGCTCTGAGGCAAAGAAGGCCTAGGACAGGAACGCCAGGACGAAGCAGGATCGATCACTCGATTTCTCGCCAGGGGCGCGTTTGGACTTGGACCACAGGAACTGCCCGTGCCGTGTGGCCACGGGAAGCCCTCGCTCTGAGGCCAAGAGGGAGGCCCAGGAACGCCCAGGACCGAAGCCAGATCCGATCCTCGATCCT